CCCCCGGCCCCGGCTGGGCGCGTCTTCCAGGCGGGAAGGCGGAGCCCACCCTAGAGGCAGCTGCGCGGGGCCTCACGCACCCTGCAGGATGGCGGGGATGCAGCCGAGCTGCACCGGCGTGGGCTGCTTCAACCCCAGCTGCCGGCATTGCTCCACCAGCCACGCCGACAGCCCGAGCTCCGCGAAGCCGGCCATCGCCCCCAGCAGCGAGGAAACCTGGAAAAGGGCACTTCCGGCGCGTGGCTGTGACGTCGAGCAGAGGCCTTCGCTGTTTATTGGGCCGCCTTCCCGTCTTGGTCCTACCTTCTCCAACTCTTTTAGCCAATCGCAGCCCCGAGCGCCTCCTGACGTATTTTCCCCACCCACTTCCTCGTGCTCGCGGGATCGAACAAACTACAACTCCCAGCATGCTTTGAGAGACTTTCTTTAAAGAAGTATCCTTAAGTAGCTGTACAAAGGAGCTACCATTCAGCAGAGCAGTTTGTGGATACAGGTTGCGCATTTGATCGCCGTCACCCCTTTCATCATCCTCCCTCCCCCACCCCTCCCAGTCCCGGAGAGCCGCTGTTGCATGCCCCGCCTACTTTATCCCGTTTCAGAGTTCCCATTGGCTCATTCGAGTAAACTACATTTCCCATGGTGCTCGGGGGCGGGTCCTGCTTCCGCCTTACGTGTCACTCCGGAAGAGGAGAGAGTCAAACGCTGAGCGCCATGGCTCCTCCGGCTCCGGGCCCGGCCTCGGGCGGCTCCGGGGAAGTGGACGAGCTCTTCGACGTGAAGAACGCCTTCTACATCGGCAGCTACCAGCAGTGCATCAACGAGGCGCAGCGGGTGAAGGTGGGGCGCGGGGCGCTTCCTGGGCCTCCTCTTCCCGGGGGCCCTGCCTGGCCTTCTCCGCCCTGCTCCCGGGGGCCCTGCCTGGCCTTCTCCACCCTGCTCCTGGGGACCCTGCCTGGGCCTCCTCTTCCCGGGGCCCTGCCTGGCCTTCTCCGCCCTGCTCCCGGGGGCCCTGCCTGGTCTTCTCCGCCCTGCTCCTGGGGGCCCTGCCTGGGCCCGGACCAGCGAATTCCGGCTGGACTTTGGGTCCTTGTTCACCCTGGACGCCCCAATGCACCCCGGAAGACGAAAGGGAGGCATTGGCGCCCCTGTACTTAGCTTTCTCTTTCTGTCAGTCCTGGGGTTTGAACTCCGGGCCTGGGCGCTGACCCTGAGCTTTAAAAACAGAACAAAACACCTCAAGGCCGGCGCTCTACCACTTGAGCCATAGCTCTCCACTACCGGCTTTGGCAGTTCAGTTGTAGATAAGTGTCTCATGGACTTTCCAGCCTGGGCTGGCTTTGAACCCTGATCCTCAGGTCTCAGCCTCCTGAGTAGCTACAGATTACAGTCTCCAGAACCACTGGTGTGGGCCAGCCTGGGCTGGTCCTCCCCGCCTCTGCTTTTTTGTAGCTGGGATGGCCTGCACACACCATCACGCACACGTCTTTATCTGTGGAGATGGGAGTCTCACCAACTTTGTGCCAGGGCTGGTTTGGAGCCATAATTCTTCTGATCTCTGTCTCCTGTGTAGTTAAGGTGACAGGCACGCGCCACCACACCTGGCTTGTTTTTTCAGTTAAGGTTTGGGGGTCCCTTAGGCTGTCATTCTTGCTGGTGTCCCCTTTGAAGGTCATTTACTTAGAAGAGACCGTGTTTTAAGCTGCAGCTGCCAGGCCCTGAGCAGAAGCAGCGGCTGCCAGGCCCCACTGGGATAGGGGATGAGGCCAGAGGCCCAGCGGTCTTGGGGCCTTGTGGACGGACAAGCCACTCACTCTTGGCCTTCCCTGGTCTGGCAGTTTCCAGGCTGTTGGTATGGCAGCGTGGAGGTGGGGCCTCCTCAGTCCTGTCGAGGCTGCACAGAGGCCTGTGGCCCTGAACCCCATCCCCGGATCCCCAGATCCCGTCCTGCGGGTGCTGGAGGCAGAGCCCCAGGAGCAGAGCAGCCTGGTCAGGCTTCCAGAGGGAAGGCGTGCTGCGCTGGGCAGCGGGGCAGCCAGGGGCTGTCATGAAAGCTAAGTACTGGTGGCTCCCGCCTGTCATCCCAGCTACTCAGGAGGCTGAGGTCTAAAGACCACGGTTCAAAGCCAGCTTGGGCAGGAAAGACTGAGACTTATTTTCAACAAACTACCAGCAAACCAGAAGTGGTGCTGTGGCTCAAGTGGTAGAGCGCTCGCTTTGAGTACAAAGAGGCTCAGGGACAGCGCCCAGGCCATGAGTTCAAGCCCTAAGACTGGCAAAAACAAAACCTAACACTAAAAATGAATGCTAGGCGCAGTGGCACCCCATGATCCTCTAGTGACAGCCCCACTAGTGTTCTGAGCTGCTGCTGGGCTCCTCCAGGACTGAGCGTCTTTGGGCTGTCCCTCCGGGTGGTCAGGGTGGGCCGTTCTGGAGTTCCCCCTGGTGCTGACCCTCCCGTGTTCCTGTAGCTGTCAAGCCCTGAGAAGGAGGTGGAGAGGGACGTCTTCCTGTACAGAGCGTACCTTGCCCAGGTGAGTGGGTGCAGAGGTGTGGTGAGCCCTGGGCAGGGGCCAGGTCGCTGACCAGCCAGACTCCAGGGATGGCTGCGTGGGGACAGGAAGGGAGCAGGATGGGCCGTGGGAAGCAACCAAGTTGGGATCTGGCCTACACGATTGCCAGCCCCTAGGACTGGTGTGGCTAGCAACCTTGGCCACAGGCCGCCAAAGCCCTGGCTGGCCAGCTGACAGCTGGGGAGTGGCACTGACCTGCCGCAGTGTCCGGCGGGACCATGGGCAGCTCAGCCGTCACGCCCTGTCACCCAGGCCAGCCCTGAGGCGGGAGGCAGGGTGGCGCCGAGGGCCGGGCGGGCAGCAGGCTGAGGACGCTGACTGGCACCTGTCCATTCCCACAGCGGAAGTACGGCGTGGTCCTGGACGAGATCCAGCCCTCCTCGGCGCCCGAGCTGCAGGCCGTGCGCACCTTTGCTGAGTACCTGGCCAGCGAGAGCCGCCGGTGAGGCCGATGCTGAGCCAGGGCTGCCCGTCCTCCGCCCCGCCCCGCCCCATTCCCTTCTGAACGGTAGAGGCTGGTGGTGGGCACCGCCTCCCTACCTGTGGGCCCGGCTCGGGGTGACATGCCAGCCCTGGGCATCGCCCCGGAGCTGTGGGTGCTCCCCCCGGGGCCCTGCCCTCCTGAGTCCAGCCTGGGCTTCGTGTGACCCTGGGCTGTGGGACCTAGAAGCTCTGAGTCACTGTGGCTTTGTGATCACACCCCATCCTGCCCATGGGTATCCCCTCTCCCCCCCCTTGAGTCCTGGCACCCTCTGGGGCACGCAGGGACCCTGCTCTGTCTGCCATGATGAGATCTTTCCGTCCCGGGGAAGGCTGCCTCCACCCCTCCTCCGCCCTGAGTGGCCCTGTCCCGCAGGGACACCATCGTGGCCGATCTGGACCGGGAGATGAGCAGAAGCGTGGACGTGAGCAACACCACTTTCCTGCTCATGGCGGCTGCCATCTACTTCCACGACCAGAACCCGGACGCTGCGCTGCGCGCCCTGCACCAGGGCGACAGCCTGGAGTGGTGAGCGCCGGCCCCAGGGCCTGCGTGTGGCACCCTGGGCTGCTTGCCAGAGCGGGGGAGGGGGTTGGAACATTCTCGAAGGCGGCCCCTTCTTGCCCCGGGTCCAGGTGGGGGCTCATGGCACCGCTCTGTCCGCAGCATGGCCATGACGGTGCAGATCCTTCTAAAGCTCGACCGCTTGGACCTTGCCCGGTGAGTTGACAGACCCGCCAGCATCGGGGCCTGTGCCTCAGTTTCCCCCACAGTGAGGCGGGTGGCACGGGGAGCCCGAGCCCCTAAAGGCTGGACGTGTGGACGGGGCCGCGCTGGGCGTGGCGGCGGCCTACGGCTCGTGCTGGGGCGCTCCGCCGTGACGCTCGTCAGAAGTGCCGGACCCCAAGGTCTGGAGCCTCGAAGCCGCCGCCTGCAGCCCCCACAGCACCGCAGAAAAGCTCAGCCGTGTTGCTCCCCACCGCTGCGCCCCGGCTCTCCCGGGTCCCTGGCCACGGAGCTCTGGCCCCTCAGGCTGGCTCGGCACCAAGGCCCCCCAGGAACCAGGGGCCCCGGAGTGGGCCGGTCCCAGCCTGCAGCCACCGCCACCGCCACCCTGGCACTCAGCACCCCCCTTGTCACCCACAGGAAGGAGCTGAAGAAAATGCAGGACCAGGACGAAGACGCCACCCTGACCCAGCTGGCCACCGCCTGGGTCAACCTAGCTGTGGTGAGGGTGTGGGGCGGCACCCAGCCGGGCCTGTTGTCCGTGGCCGCGTGGGCACGCCTCCTCCGCATCCCCCATCCCTGCCCCTCTCATCTCCGCCTCCCACGGACCCTGCGGGGACACTCAAGGGGACACACAAGGCCCCGCAGCGCCTCTCCCCAGGGTGTGGGGCTCCCCTGCTCCGCGGGGCCCTGTTGCCCCCCAGCATGGCACTCAGCACCCCCTTCACCAACTTGGCTGCCATCCCCAGCTGCTCTTTGTCCCCGCTTTTCAGATGTGCCATGGGTGTGAGGGGAGGGCAGCCCCGGGCTGGCCTCGGCCTCCTGGGTTCGGGCCTCCCAGCTGGCCTCCTGATGGCTGAGCTCTCCCTCCCTGCCCAACCCCACCCTGGTGCCCCTGTCACCCGCCTGCCCCAGGGCCTCCCCAAGGGC